ATGGGACACAGCAAAAGTAGTTCTAATAAAAAAATTTGCAGGAGTACAATCCCACCTCAAGAAACAAGAGAATTCTCAAATGAACAACCTAACTTTATACATAAAGCAATTAGAAAAAGAACAATGAAAAGCAACAGTGACAAAAAACACCCAAAGTTCGTAGAAGGAAAGGAATCATAAAGATCAGAGCAGGAATAAATGAAAAAGAAATGAAGAGAACAGTAGCAAAAATCAAATATACAGAGAGAGGTATGGATTACACACAGTGGTGGTTTAGTCGCCTAGGCGTGTCTGACTCTTGCAACCCCAAGGACTGTGCCTGTCAGTCTCCTCTGTCCCCAGTATTCTCCAGGCAAGATACTGGAGTGGGTTGCCATTTCCTTCTCCAGGGGATCTTCCTGACCCAGGGATCAAACCTGCATCTCTTGCATTGCAGGTGGATTCTTTACCGCTGAGCCACCAGAGATTCCATAGACTATATAGAGATATATGTGGATAGGGGCTTCCCAGGCGGCGCTGCTACTGCTGCTGCTGCTGCTAAGTCACTTCAGGCGGCGCTAGTGGTAAAAAAAAAAACAAAAACAAAACCTGCCTGCCAATGCAGGAGACATAAGAGATACGGCTCGATCCTTGGTTTGGGAAGAGCCCCTGGAGGAGGGCATGGGAACCCACTCCGCTATTCTTGCAAGGTGAATGCCGTGCACAGGAGCCTGGTGGGTTACATTCAAAGGTTTGCAAGAAGTCGGACATGAGTGTAGCAACTTAGACGCATGCATGCATATATAGATATTTGATACAGAGGTCTATACATATACCTATATATCCAGAAATATATATATATATACAAATATACAAAGAGAGAGATAATATTTATAATCCTACTTATATATCTGTCCATCCATCTATCCATCATCTATCCATCATCCACCCATCCACCCATCAGCATAGCCTGGTCTTTCAGAGACTCAGAACCACGTTCCATGACAAATGTGTCCTATACTGTGTGTCTCTGGAGAACCCAGACTAAGCCCCGACTGTATTTCCCTCCACACCAGCCCCATAACCTGAGTCAGAGGAAGCAGGTGGGCCAGGGTGAAAGGTCGTTTATTTGGAAGGAAACATTCCTGGAGTGATGGATGCGGGTGCCTGCCAGCTGGCATGTTTGGGGACAAGGACATTCATATTCCTGAATCCAGATTCCCTAGAAAGGGGTGCTGAGCGCTCATCACATAATTCTTCCTGATGTATCTGTTCATTATTTCCCCCGTGAAAAATAGTGGTCAGGTGCAAAATTGTTAAACCACAATCTATTCTCCAGGGGTTTGTGGGCTTTTTAATCAAAATGTGCCTCTTTCTGCGGACTGTTACGCTGTTGAGGGCTCCAGTGTGAACTCAGCAGTGGGTGAAGGTCAGCTTCTCAGAGTCACTGTGGGATTAACTGCTTGAGTGTGACTGGGACCCCAGAGTGAAGGGAGCAGGGGACTTTGTGCACCCCTCCTGGACCACACCCATAGGACCACACAGTGCCAGAAGGGGGCAGCCCCACCCCCCACCCCACTGTTGGGGTGTACTAAGCCCTTTGCTTCTCTGTCCCAGGATCAGCAGCTCCTTTCTGTAGTTACGTGGTTGTCTTTGAAACCACGGCAGCCTCTGTCTCTTATGTGGTGTGTGGTACAGACCCCAGGATCCCACCTTGGGTCTCAGCAACAGCCTGAGATCCTCAGTGTATCAGAGGGGGTGAGATTGCCTTGCATCCACGGCTTCCAAACTGGGAGAGGATGCAGGCTGCAGAGCAGAAGCCTGAGGCGGGGGCTTGAGCAGGAGGCTGCCCTCATCAGGACCTTCCTGCAGACCCTGATGTCCGTTCCCCACTCCCACCTCCCCCCTGCTGACCACCAGGCGGGGATGCCCATGCTCCCTCCCTGTGCCCCCTCCGCCTCTTCAGAGGCACAGATGGGCCCCCGGTGGGGCTGATACCCCAGCCTCAGAGCTTCTGTTCAGGGAGCCCGCAGCCTCATTCTGGACCTGGATCATTCATGTGTTTAGTTGGCTGCCTCCTCCATCACCTGCTCTGGTTTACTGTCACTCTGAATGACTGGGGGGCCCAGGGGAAGGCTATATCACTTGCCCATTGCATCTCCAGCCTCGTCCTTCCAGCTCCCATCCCCGCTCACCTGTCCTAAACGCCCTGCTGGACGTGCTCCATCCAGCTTTTTCACCCAGAGAGTCCCTTCCCCCTCTGTCTCTTGGACAAGCACTAAGATGCCCAGTCCACTGCTGAAGTGTGCCCTCTTTGCCGCTTTCTTCTCTCCCTGCCCCGAGGACGCTGTCTCCTGCCCTGCCCCAGACCCCGCACTTGGCCCCCCAGCTCTGGCCTGGAGACCCTCACCTGCTTCCCTCCCTGACCTGCTGCTCTCCTGAAGCATCAGCTGGATTATGCCCCAGGTGTGCGCCCGGGGAGGCCCAGGACCTGAGTAGGGCACCGCTTTCTCCAATAACGGTTCCAATTTTTCTGCAAGATTTGCCCCTTGGCTGGCTTCCTTTGGTGAAGATAACGTCCTCTAATGCTGAACAAGAAAGTGGTTGGTGGACTGCACGCTTCGTGCGGTCCTTCTGCTGCACATGAACCTTATGGAGAAACAGGTGAGGGGCTCCAAACTCAAGTGTGGCGCCACCCCCAAAGCCAACTTTCATCTGGTTTTTCTTTTTTCATTTTTGCAGGGGTGGTGGGGATCAGAAAGTTGCTTGCAAAATCACCATCACAGAGAACCCAATACAATACAGTTGACTAACTTTTCAGTATTGTAACACAAATCAAAACACTGCAAGTGTTTCAGAAACAACCACCAGCTTCCAAGGATAAGTGATTATCAGGATGGGTGCGCATGTGTTTTTAAGGATCTTGCAGAATAATGTCATGGTGTATGGTCTACAGCCCATTCATTTTGTTGCTTCCGAACCTCAGTTCCCAGTGTGGTCCAAGCGCTTGTAGGGGATGTCACAGGAATAATTCTCCCCACAGCTGGAAACATGCATTAGGGGGTTGCCACATGTTACAAAACTATGTTGAAATAATGACAGCTTATGTTACACGATGATTGTAAAGACAGATGGAGGGAAAGAGCAGCTGTCATCTGTAAACCCCTTCCCTGTGCTGGCCTGTCTTCCTAATGTCACTAATCACGCAGAGGGGGTAAGGAGGTGCCACCCCCAGGCCAGATCTCCAAGTATGAAGTCCTCCACAGTTCCTGACCTCACTGCAATGTTGGCCTGGGATAAACCTCTTCAAATCCCTCTGTCGCCCTCTCCTCATCTGGGTAACAGGTGACCCCAGGGCTTCTCTCATAGGTTGTTTGAGGACCAGAGGTTGTGACCGTGAGTCTTAGGACAATATCTGTCAACGGTTAATGCCCAATAAATGATTAGGCAGGTGGGTGTGATTTCATTCTCCACATGTTTGATTTCGTGCTCACAACAAGCATGCAAGATAGACCTTTTACTCTCCGTCTGAACACTCGAAAGCAACCCTGTGTTCTCCAGAAAGCAGAGTCCGAGGAAAGGATTACGTGCCGGGGCCGTCCGGGGGCACAGGCCCCAGGGCTGCCTGTTTCGTTTCCTCCTTTGCAACCACAGCCTGGGCAGCTTAGGTACAGCCCTCAATTTCTCCCAGTTCCAGAGATCAGGGTGTCTGCAGACTGGGCAAGGGCCACTTCCTTCCTGGTTTGCAGATGGTGGTCTTCTCACTGTGTCCTCGCGTGGCAGAGAAAGTGAGAGAGATAGGAAGCGAGGTCTGGGGTCTCTTCTCTGAAGGACACTAACCCCATCACAGAGTCCCGGATGCTGGGAAAGACTGAAGGCAAAAGGAGAAGAAGGAGGCAGAGGATGAGATGGCTGGATAGCATCACTGACATGAATTTGAGCAAGCTCTGGGAGATAGTGAAGGACAGAGATGGGGTCAAGAGGAGTCGGACACGACTGAGCAACTGAACAACAATTGACATGAAAACAGCTGTACATATTTAGTGTACACAACTTGATGGGTTTGTAGTGTACAAACACCAATGGAACCATCATTGTCATCTGTGTGCAAAGATATCCATCACCTCCCAAAGTCTGCTCTTCTCTTCTCTTACCCATCTCTTCCTCCTTCCCAGCATAATTTGTCTGTGTGTGATAAAAGCACTTAACATAAGTTCTATCCTCTCAGCAAATTCCTAAGTACATAGTATAGTAGTGCTAACTCTAACCAGCTATGCCGTACAGTGGATCACTAGGACTCATTCATCTTATAACTGAAACTTTGTACCTTTTGATCAATTTCTCCCCATTTCTCGCTTCCCCCAGCCCCTGGCAGCCAGCTACCTACTCTCTGTCTCCATGAATTTGACCTCTTTAGGTTCTCAGTATCAGGGATACCACATGATATTTGTTTTTCTGTGTCTGCCTTACTGCATTGAATGTAATGTCCTCTGGGTGCACGCGTATTGTCGCGGACGGCATCTCCTCAGCTTGTGTTTCGTAACTGGACAAACTGCTCCATGTTTGGTTTCCGAGTGTGAAATGTAACAAGATGGAGATCAGGAATGGCAGACATAGTTCACTTAATCAGGATTTCACAGGATGGGAAGAGAGAAAGCACTTGGGCTGTAACAGCAAAGGTGACAGACAGCATCTCCCACCTCCCTGTGCTCCACGCACCGCTCGGAGGCTGGGGGATCTCTGGTTCTCCCTTTCCGCCTGGGATGGGGGCCTTAGGTCAGGAAATTGAGGCACAGGGAGGCTAAGTAGCCTGCCTGCGGTCACATCACCCTAGAACCACGGTCACTTACCCAGGACACCAGGCTTCAGGGGCCCAGGCTTGGTCACTCAATGTGTTGACGTATATGAAGTTCCCCCTTGGGCCCTGGGCCAGCTCCAGGCTTCACAAGCACTGCATGGACCCGGGTCATGGTGCCAGCCTGGGCAGGGCTTCTAGGACCCCAGTTCTGTGGATAATACAGCTACTTATACGCTGTTTCTCTGAGCACCGTGTCATAAGCCTCTGGTCTGCAGAGCTGTGGGTCCCCACCAGCGATGCTGGCAGAGGCTGCGGGCAGGGCCTGGCCAGCACCAGCCGTCCACCAGCCCTTCTCTAGGTGGAAGCTGGCACTCGACTGGTAGAAGCACTGGCGTTTCCTGCGGCTGTTCAGGGTCAGGGCATTGGTTCTGTAGGACCAGCGTCCGTTCTCATTGGTGATGTCAGCGTTACACTCATGGAGCTTTTCCAATACGACATCTCTCGTGGTGAAGGTGACCTGGTGACCGATGTCACATACAGCCTGTCCTCAGTAGCTGCAGATTCTGTATTTGTGCATTCACCCACTTGCTAGCATTTATCTGTGGGCCCAGGTCAATAGTCTCAGCGCTTTTATGCATTTATCTGTGTAACCCCAGGGCAGTGGGGAATTTGAGTTCCTGACACAGACGGTCCCCAGTGGAGGGGGAACCAAGGCACTCTCCCTCCTGGTCTTGGCTGTCACACTAAACAAGCGGCCTTTGCACAGTCTGTTTAGTCACACCTTTTCCCCGTTTTTAGGCTTCTGGTTGATAACTTTACTGTTTAAAATTTCCCTCAAGCATCATGCTGAAATGCTGCCCAGGATCCTAAGAACAAGAGGTTATGAAAATACATGTGTTAGCTGAGCTTCACTCAGACACGAGCTCCAGAGATGGTGGCTTGAGTTCAATGTTAATAACTCAACCATATATTTAAACAGAAGCACACACAATGCAGGTCTGGTTTCAAACTGCTGACAAAGTCGTGTGGGTGAGAGGCTCTCAGGACCCTGGCCACGTATTTCCCCAGGTGCACTGACCCGGCATGAACCCGGGGTTCAAACACGAAACAAGCCACCGAGGATATCGCTGCCTGGACCAGGGCTTGCTGAACTGGGCTCCTGGGCCAAACCAGTGCAGAGCACACACTACAGTCCATAGGGTTGCAGAGTCGAGCATGACTGAGGCGACTCAACGCACACACACAAGTGTAACGTGGGCGCTGGTTGGTTACATCCTGTGAAACAGGATGGAGTGGGTGCCCTCATGCCGAGGTCTGAGACAATGGAGTTAAACATGCATGGTTGCTCCTGCCTATGAGTGCGTGTTCAGTTCGCTCAGTTGTGTCCGACTCTTTGTGACCCCATGGACTGCAGCCCACCAGGCTCCTCTGTCCATGGGATTCTCCAGGCAGGGATACTGGAGTGGGTTGCCATGCCCTCCTCCAGGAAATCTTCCCCACCCAGGGATTGAACCCACATCACCTGCAATGACAGGTGGATTCTTTACCACTGAGATGCCTGGATAGCCCTTTCTCTCTGTGAGCCAGTATCAGAGCGAACGTGGGCGCCAGAGGCTCACCCCACATGGAGCTGAGCAGGCTGCGGGTGTCTGCTTCCTTTCCTGGTTCTCCCCGCTCCCGCCCCGGGGTTATGCAGGGCCATGTCATGGTCAGTAAGGATCATCTCACAACCCTACCGGCTAGTTGCTCCTTTATTTTACAGAGGAGGAAAAAGGCTCTGTGCAAGAGGCGTGCAGACACAGGCCCTCCTGCCGGCCACAGGGCCAGGCTCTGCCACCTGCAGTGTGACCCCCAGGGAACACGGACTCAGCCGCTCTGTGCACAGGTTGCTTCACTGTGAAGTCGGGGCCATGAGGATTGTCAGGAGGACAAGGTGAATCCACTCAGGATCAGTGCTGGCAGCGAGTGTAAGTGTTAGCCACTCTGTCCTGTCCGACTCTTTACGACCCCATGGACTGTAGCCCACCAGGCTCCTCAGTCCATGGGATTCTCCAGGCAAGAACACTGGAGTGGATTACTATGCCATCCTCCAGGGGAATCTTCCCTGCCCAGGGATCGAACCCAGGTGTCCTGCATTGTAGGTGGGTTCTTACCGCCTGAGCGACCAGGGAAGCCCAAGTATTAAGCAATTAAATTACTGTTACCAATGGACGGCGATGCTGGAGCTTGATTCCAAAGCCCTCAGGCCCCTCCTGCCTTTGCGTCCACCTCCCCAGTGGAGCTGTGGCTCGTCTGTGGGGTGCTGACCTTGACCCCTCCTTCACCTGCACAGACAGGAAGTGCCCAGAGGTTAGGTCCTGCCACCCCTCCCCCGAATCACCATGACCCTGGAGACGTGGCCAGGTTCTGGGTCTGGAGCTTCCTGGCTCCGGGCTGGAGCTGCACTGAGGGGTAACTCACACCTGGGGGCCTCGGGATCAGGCTGGAGGCACGCCCGCCTCGTGGCTTCCTGCTTCTCCTCCAGCTGGGACCTCACACCATTCATTTCCCGCCCACACCCCGTCCCATCACAGGCCCCTCGTCTTGGGTCTGCTCCTGCGGACCCTGCTGACCGGGAGCATTGCTGAAGGCCGCGCGCTCCCAGCCAAAGACCCCAGGATGGACCCACACTGCCCGCTGGCCTGGGTCCGGTTGCCCCCTTCCTGCCGCTTCCCATTCTCCAGCCTTGTTTGTGAAGCTTGACTGAGCTGCAGCGACTGGGACCCACTGCTGGTCCCCTGGGGGCCGCCCGGGGCTCCCGCCCAGCAAGCAGCGCCCCACAGTGTGAGGAAAGCCACCTGCTGGGCTTTCCCAAGGCCCTCAGGAGAAACCCTCGTCTCCCGAGAGGGGTGTCAGCCGCATGGAGGGAAAGCAGGTTGGAAAACAGGAGTCCTCTCTGCCAAGCGCCTCTGGGCATGAGAGAGGGGCCTTGCTGCTCCTGTGGAGTGCTGGTGTAAGTGGGGGCAGGGGGCTTCTCCAGAGAGTGGTGTTCCAGGGGGTCCCCGGACCCGGAGACCCTGCAGACATGGGGCCTTCTGCTCTTCACTGGCCTGTGGTAGGTCCTCTCCTGGAAAGGCAGGTGGCAGAGTTCATGGGGGAGTGGAGCGCCTGGTAACTGTGGACAGTGCGTGAGGGAAACGGCAGCCCACTCCAGGATTCGCGGCTGGAGAATCTCCTGGGCAGAGGAGCCTGGCGGGTCACAGTCCGTGCGATCACGCAGAGTCAGACCCAAGTCACGCAGAGCAAGTGGTGCAGGGCAGGGCAGGGCAGCCGGCACCTGGGAGTCCTCAGGCTCGGCCCAGACCCCCTCTGAGGTGGGAGGTGAGGTCGGCGTGTGCTGGTGGTCTGAGGGTCCAGGTGTGGTGGGGTCTGAGGGCCCAGGTGTGGTGAGGTCTGAGGTCCAGGTGTGATGAGGTCTGAGGGCCCAGGTGTGGGATCTGAGGTCCAGGTGTGATGAGGTCTGAGGGCCCAGGTGTGGGGTCTGAGGTCCAGGTGTGATGAGGTCTGAGGGCCCATGTGTGGGGTCTGAGGTCCAGGTGTGGTGGGGTCTGAACACCCAGGTGTGGTGAGGTCTGAGGTCCAGGTACAATAGGAAAACATTGGTTTTAAGTTGCATCAAATGGCAATTGTATAGCTTCTCCCCTCAGCACTGAGCTCCCCACATGTAGTCAAGTGGTTGGATTTATTTAGCACCAGTTTTTGAAAAAAAAATGGGGATGCTAATAGCTTTTTGTCAGAATTGTTGTGATAATGTAATGGGATATAACAAGGGAATCACCTTAGCATGTTGCAGGTCAGTGTACAAATGTAAGTGATCACACCTGACATGTAAATATCACTTATACTATGCAGTAGAGTGTTTAGTTTGTTTCTTTCCTGGCTCAGCAGGAAATAACATATTGATCTGCTTGCACCTGTGAGGTGTATGTGTCAAGCCCTTGAGTGTGGTCTGGGGGACCTGTTTCCCTCTGCAAGCCCAGCAGCCTGCAGTGTCCTGAGTTACACAGGTCCGGATGCTAGTCCAGAGCAGAGTTTAAATGAAACCGACTGTTCTACCTGTCGCTCTCTTCTTGTTTAGAAGACTTAATTGTGGCTTATCTCATATTGTTCGTAGAAGACTGGGTAGCTGATGATATCAGTTGCAATTGTGTGATGCATTTTTAAGCAGATATTTATTTACATAATATCCTTCTGCAAAAACAGGCTCACCCACACCAGATGTTTTTATCACCAGCCTTGGTATCTGGGAAGAAATAAATAAAACAGTGCAACAAGCTGACCGTTAAACAGCAGGATTTGAAAAAATATACTGTCTGAAAAGACTGTTTGAATTTTCTTATTCATTTCTTAGTTCAAGGAGAGCTACATTTAACTGAGAGAAGATGAATTGTTAGTTGTTTCAGAAAATAACAGTAAGGGTATTTGAATCAAATTCACTCCCATTCCAAATATTATTTGGAATATTTTGAATATTGAAAATATTTTTCCTATTGCTGTTTATCTAAAGCTAGTGTTCTATCCTCTTGCTTCTCTCTGATGAAACCGTGGGGTGGTAAACAAGGTGGGCATTTTATCATAACGACACTGCTGATCAAAACTTTTTTTCTTATTCTCTGAAATACTCTGTATTTGGGTCTCTCCAATGCCTTGGTCTGATTCTCAGACAGAGCTGAAAGCCCCAAGAAGACCTGTCCACTGCCTGACCCCCGGGGAGCTCTGACAGAGCCTCAGAGTTTCACTCAGCACAGTGACCCACACAGCTGCTTGGAATTCATCCTTCTTTGTGGTTTCCTCTTTGCTCATGCATCTGGTCTTGCCATGGTCTGAGGGTCCCTTCTTCTACCTTCTTCCATCTCCTTTTGTACCATCTTTCTCTCTCTCTGCCCCACCTTGGGCTCAGCAATCCTTCCTTTTGCTTTTTCTCTTCTAAACCATATTCTGTCTGTTTTTGTATCTCGTGCTGTGACGTACCTACAATTCTAGCTGTCCTTGTCATCTCACCTCTACATAAATTTGTGAGATAAACAAAACTGTGAATTTTACGCTTCAAATTAGTTTTTTCTTAATTATAAAGCTTAATTTAACTGGAGGGAGCAGAACAGCACAGGCATGCTCATAGATTATTGGTGTCACTCTAAATTGTTATAACTCTGAAAATAAATTTGCCAGTATGTCTCCAGAGCCTAAAGTCATTAATCCTCTTTAACCCAGTAATTGAACTTCTGAAAATCTACCCTTCAAAACGAACATGAAACTCAAGCATAAAACCACATACAAAGATGTTTATGATGGCATATTTATAATGGAAAAGAATGGAAATATCCCATGATAGTAAAATGGTTTTACAAATACATTTTGGAAATAAATACAAGAAAATATTACAATGAGAATAACATTAGCGTAAAGTTGGGTGTGTGTTAAGATGGAAAGTTTGTATTAGGATTGGCAGAGAATTCATAGTCGGGTTGTGTGTATGTATATATGTATGCATGCGTGCTCAGTCATGTCCAACTCTTTGCAGCCCTACAGACTGAAGCCCTCCAGGCTCATGGGATTCTCCAGGCAAGAATACTGGAGGGGGTTGCCGTTTCCTCCTCCAGGGGATCTCCCTGACCCAGGAATCGAATCCACGTTTCCTGCGTCTCCTGTATTGGCAGGGGGATTCTGTACCTCTGAGCCACCTGGGAAGCCCATAGTCAGGATAGAAAATGTTCATCGCAGCACTGTTTATCATAGCCAGGACATGGAAGCAACCTAGATGCCCATCAACAGACGAATGGATGAGGAAGCTGTGGTACATATACACCATGGAATATTACTCAGCCATTAAAAAGAATTCATTTGAATCAGTTCTAATGAGATGGATGAAACTGGAGCCCATTATACAGAGCGAAGTAAGCCAGAAAGATAAAGACCATTACAGTATACTAACACATATATATGGAATTTAGAAAGATGGTAACAATAACCCTATATGCAAAACAGAAAAAGAGACACAGATGTATAGAACAGACTTGTGGACTCTGTGGGACAAGGCGAGGGTGGGATGTTTCAAGAGAACAGCATCGAAACATGTATATTATCTAGGGTGAAACGGATCACCAGCCCAGGTTGGATGCATGAGACAAGTGCTCGGGCCTGGTGCACTGGGAAGACCCAGAGGGATTGGGTGGAGAGGGAGGTGGGAGGGGGGACCGGGATGGGGAATACATGTAAATCCATGGCTAATTCATTTCAATGTATGACAAAAACCACTGCAATATTGTAAAGTAATTAGCCTCCAACTAATAAAAATAAATGAAAAAAAAAAAAAGAAGTAGATTGAGAGGTGGGACTCAGGACAAGTTTGAGTGACATGGGCAGACGTAATGGTAGGCGTTCTCGTTGAACGCTGCATAACAAATGACCCCAGGCTTTGTGGGGGTAAGACAGCAATCGTTACTATGTTCACAAATGCTGTGGGTCAGGAAACTGTATGGAACACAGAAAGGAGGCCTGGGGTCACATTTGGAAAGACTTGAACGTCTGGGCTGGCCTGAGGCTGGGGGCTGGAACTGTCTGGTTGCTTCCTCACCCAGACAAGTGTTACCTGGGCTGGATGGCTTGAAGGATGGGCTCCCCGGGACGGTTGAGTGGTGTGTCCACATGTGGCTTCTCCCCCTGCCTGGGCTTCTCACTGCATGGGACTGGCTTCAGGGGGCCACATGGTAGCAGCTTGACTTTTAAGACCTTGTTCCAGAAGACACAGGGTCCCTTCCACCACACTGCTTGACTGAAGCCATCTCAAGCCTGCCCTGACTTGACAGGAAAGGACACAGTCTCAGTCCCTTGATGCGATGAAAGTCAAAGAAGTTGTGACCTTTTTTCTTTTGCCCACGGGGACCTGAGCACCAAGGCGTAGCAGATGGAGGAGATGTCACTCCTAAGAGTGTCCATGATCAGAGACTTTAGGAATTAATAATGCAGAACACCCTCACCTTTGCCTGGAGTGGACTAGTTCGGCCTCCAGACAAGCAGAGGGTCTCTCATTTCCAGGAGAGTTAAGGAATAAGATGGGCCATAGTCCCCGTTGGATAGTTTAAAAACAGTTCTATTTAATGGTGGAAGGAATTACATCAAATTCTTGATTTCTGTGTTCATTTGTAGAAGCTCTATTTTCTCTTTCACTAACCTTTGAAAATTTATAAGCAGAAATTAAAATCCACGCCATGAGTCCCAAGCTAAATTGGTTTATTATCAAATGCTCATTATATGTAATCCTAGAAAGATTTTGGGAAATGGACATGAATACATTATAGACTGGGCTTGTTCATACCCACCTCCACATCCAGGAAAAAGAAAACCACAGAGAGTCAGAGTTAATCCTTAAAACTGAGAGAGATAGTCTCTCTTTTTGGTTTCTTAAATTTGAAAGTAAATTTTATATACTTATACAAATTCATTCAGTAATCACGCCAAACCTTCACATCCAAATCTCCTGACTCAATGATCTCCCATTGTATTTTCTTCATGTCTCTTCAATGGCAAGTATCATATCCAAAACATTGCATTTTAGTTATTTATACATTAATCTAATGGGCTTCCCATTAGATTGCAGGTAAAGAATCCACCTACAATTTAGGAGCCACAGGAGATGTAGGTTCGATCCCGAGGTTGGGAAGATCCCCTGTAGGAGGGCATGGCCACCCATTCCGGTGTTCTTGCCTGAATCTTATGGACAGAGGAGCCTGGCGGGCTGAAGCCCGTAGGATCGCAAAGGGTCAGACACGACTGAAGCGACTTAGCACACATGCATGCATGCGTTAATCTAACCCATACTAGATTATATTCTACTATATTCTATGCATTTAGCATGTGACTCAAATATATGCCCTTAATTTAGTTAAACGGCTCTTCTCCTGCCTTGTTTTTGGGCATGCATAGAAATTAGCAGTGAGGATTTTCAATCTCTTTTATATTTCCTTTTATGTTGGGACATCAGCTACAGTTGACCTTTATTTATTTATTTAATTGAAGGGTAATTGCTTTACAGAATTTTCTGTCAAATGTCAACATAAATCAGCCCTACAATAGACCTTTGAATAATGTGGGGGTTGGGGCATTGGCCCCCCGTGCAGTAAAAAAATTCACATATAACTTTGCAGTCGGCCCTTTGTATATACAGTTCTATGTCAGTGAATTCAACCAGCCATGGATTGTGTAGTACTGTAATACATATTTACTGAAAAAAAAATCTATATATAAGTGCAAATACTATTCCATTTGCAAAGAAGTTCATATTCATGATCATTCATAATTTTCATCCTTTAGTTATGTTTTGTCTCGTATCTTAACACGAACGAACAGGATAGCTTGCTATTCTTTAGGGAGCATTTTTTGTGTTTTCTGAGAGCAATGTTATAAATATTGTTGCATCGTCCACGTTTTAACCTGGTCACCAGGTGTTCAACTGTCTTCCTAGCAGCAGCGAGAAAATCGCATAAAAATGGGAGTGATGTGTCAGATCCTGTTACCTTCTAAAATGTTGCTCTCTCACCTGAAAAATGGGGTTGATGCTGCCTGTTCTGCCTACATCATGGGGTTGTTTGAGGAACAAGTGAGAAAACGCTGATGTTCCCTGACACGTGGGGGAATGTGTGGGATAGCTGTCACTGCGCACACTCTGTGATGAGAGAGGGCGCAAACACAGCACCTGCCTGGCTGCTCGCCCCACCCCGCACTCTGGCTGGTACCTCTCCTTAGAGTCGGGCTCTTTGTCATCAGCTTGATTCCGCCTCAGGATCTTTCTCTGCACGGCCGACGGCCCCTGAGATAAACCTGTCTTGGGAGCGTGGTTTCTGAGTGAGCAGAAATACTCCCTGGGCACAGAGCTTGCCTCTCTCCCACGTCTGCGAGCACACCTCTGTTCGTTCATACGGGGCGGCTCCCCACCCTGCCACTCCACTTCTGACAACCAGCTGCCCTTCCTCACCTGTTTGCCCTTCCAGCAGGTTGCTTGATGGGGTCCCGGGAGTGAGCAGGCTGGGGCTGGGGGGCTGTGTGCTGGTCAACGCTGAGCAACCCTTCCATTCACACCCATCAGCGACTCTATGCTCCAGGCTGCATCTGGAGAGGACATGGTAATAAATGAGGGTCTGAAGGGTGACTTGCTTGATTGCATTTCTCTCATCTGTCATCTTACTTTCTTAATTAACGGTTTTGTTTTTTTTTTTTTCCCTGAAAACCCGTTATTAAGTTTCAGGTTAGGTTAAGTTTGAAACACCTCATTCTGCCCCAACCACCACTTGAAGCTAATAATTAAATGTTTGTTTTAATGTGTGTGTGTGTATGTGTGTGTGTCTGTGTGTGTGCGCGCATGCGCACGCATGCTTGGTCATGTCTGACGCTTTGCCACCCCATGGACGGTAGCCCACCAGGCTCCTTTGTCCATGGGATTCTCCAGGCAGGAATACTGGAGTCGGTTGCCATGTCCTTCTCCAGGGGATCTTCTGGACCCAGGGATCCAACCCATGTCGCCTGCGCCTCCTAGATTTGCAGACGGATTCTTTGCCACTGAGCCACCTGGGAAGCCAATGCCTTACTGAGAGGTGGACGATCTCTAAGAAGGGATATGGAGCACGTGGAAAGGGCCCCAAAGCTTGGCTCCGACCCGGGCTGCTGACCCAGCCCTGCTCCCATTCTGGCCGGAACAGCCTGCCCTGGTCCCACGGGCTCAGGCTGGGGACACGTGGGGTCTGGGACCGCTGTCACCCAGAGGGGCCCCGGGGGGCGGTCAGCATTCTAGACGACTGACTTTTGCTTATGGATATGCATATTTGCTCCCAGAAGTCTAAAGCTGGGTCTGTGTATCCTGTGGCCCGATCCTGTTAAAGCCCCACTGTGCTTTCTCTTTAAGCTGAGGGCTCTGGTGAACTCTGACCTCCCAGGAGGTGGGCCCCCTGATGAAGACGGGCACTTGTGTCTTCTGAGGGGCCGAGGGAGGTCTGGGTTCTCTCCACTGTCGTGAAGGAGCTGATAACCGCAGTCCTCATTTGGAAGACCAGTGGAGGCCCTCAGGAGGAGCTGAGCATCAAGCGGAGGAGGCTGTGGGCACAGCCCTGGCCTGGGGGCAGGGTTTGGGGGTCGAGGAGAAACAGATTGCCTTTCAGCTCGCCTTGCCCAGTGCCCACACCCCGTGAAGGGCTGCGTCTGTCCACCTGGGAACGACAAGGCACCCCAGACGAGGGAGGGAGATGGGTGGGCGGGCAGACATTCAGAGCTGACCGTGCTCACTGGATTCTGGGAGCCCAGAGACAGCTCTCCTGCCAGTTTGTGTTGGGGGAAGGGCTAAGAGGGCTTCCTGCAGACTGGCCTTGCACTTGGTCTAGAAAGATGAAATTGATGCCGAAAGCTCAGCTTCTCTGCACACCACTGCTGAACCAAACCTCAGAGACAGAGTTTTGGGTGAAGTAGAAAAGGAGAGCTTTATTACTATGTCAGGCCAGGGGGGGAACACAGAGGGCTAATGCCCTCGATACCAAGCGTCCCCACTTGGGGAAGACAGTGATAAATTTTGTATTGACAGTAAACGAGGGCATGATCAGCTCGTGAACAGTCTTCTGACGGTTGGTGGTGAGGTAAGTAGGGGTCAGCATCATCAGCCTTCAGGTTTAACTGGTCTGGAGTCTACCTGCTTGTGGGCAGCATATCATCATTAGTCACTGACTTCTCCCACCTGGAAGGGTTTTGTGTATCCACAAAGCAGCTCAAAGATATTGTTGTGTGCGTCCAACGATGGGAAAATAAGACCCTGCCCCAAGGCTGCTCTTGGCTGTTCCTCCCTCGTTTCACTTCCCCTCCCTTCCCTAACGGGGCTCCCCTGGCGGCTCAGACAGTAAAGAGTCTGCCTGCAATGCAGGAAACCCAGGTTTGATCCCTGGGTCAGGAAGACCCCCTGGAGAAGGGAATGAAGGACAAGGAAGGGATTTTGAGAAGGGAGCCCCTGGAGAAAACTCCAGTATTCTCGCCTGGAAAATCCCATGGACAGAGGGAGCCTGGTGGGTTACTGTCGCTGGGTTCACAGAGTCGGACACGACTGAGCAACGAACACTTTGACTTTCCCCTCCCTAATTAACAACTGCTTGAGTCTGTCCATTGGAACTCAGGGAAGGTCATGGAGGCTAAATGAAGACTATTTCCTAATAATCAAAGAAATGGGGGAGACAGAAAGCCGTTGTGTCCAGGAGCCCCACTGGGCCCTGCAGAGTATAAACAGTTAGCCAGGAGACAAGGCAGAAAAAAGAATCCTAGTGTTCTCCCCCTAGTGAGAAGGGAAGAAAAGTGAAAAGCAAAAGTGCCAAATAAAACATGCCACTCTGGGCCACGGTCCCCATGCTGTCCTGTATCACTTATGTAAATATTGAGTGCTGAGCAAAGTAGGAGAAACGACGAGGAGGAAGGCCCCAGGTTTGGAAGAACACTTCCAACTGGGCTCAGAAACTCAGGGGCTTTCTGTAGAGTCTGCAGGACGCAGTGGAGGCCCAGCAGTTGCAGGTGGTGAGCGGGTCTCTGTCTGGAGAGACGGTCCCTGTAGGTAATGCCCAGACAAGCGACTGACCAGAAGGAGGGGGAGCCTGGGGATCCGTGGGGAGCTCAGGCCACGGGGGCCTGTGGAAGGGAGAGTGAGGTCCAGACACGGGTGCAGGACGGCCGTAACCCACCTGATGAGAGAGACAGGGATGGAGCAGCTCACCAGGGGCTTCTGTGGTGACAGAAAAGGTCACCGGGTGCAGGACGGCCCTAACCCACCGCCTGATGAGAGGAGACAGCGATGGAGCAGCACACCAGGGGGCCTCTGTGGTGACAGGAAAAGGTCACTGGGTGCAGGATGGCCCTAACCCACCGCCTGATGAGAGGAGACAGCGATGGAGCGGCTCACCGGGGGGCCTCTGTGGTGACAGGAAAAGGTCACTGGGTGCAGGATGGCCCTAACCCACCTGATGAGAGAGACAGGGATGGAGCAGCTCACCAGGGGCTTCTGTGGTGACGGAAAAGGTCACCGGGTGCAGGACGGCCCTAACCCACCGCCTGATGAGAGGAGACAGCGATGGAGCAGCACACCAGGGGGCCTCTGTGGTGACAGGAAAAAGGTCACCGGGTGCAGGATGGCCGTAACCCACTGCCTGATGAGAGGAGAGAGACAGGGATGGAGCGGCCCACCAGGGGGCCTCTGTGGTGACAGGAAAAGGTTACCAGGATGCAGCTACAAGCCAAGGGATTCTGGGCACAGTAGGCAACTCCAGAAACCAGGGGGAGGCATCGGACTCTGCCCCCGAGTCTTCTGGGACCAGCTGACCCCCCTGGTTTCAGACTTCAGACCTCCAGAGCTGCAAGGGAAGCCCATTCTGCTGATTTAAGCTGCCAAGTCTACAGCGCCATTACTGCAGCCCTAGGAACCCGACACACCCCACTGAAGAGGCGAAGGAGGGACATTCACGGTGGAAGGGGTGAGGATGAAGCAGGCCTTGTGTACGTGGGAGGACCCTCGGCGAAGCTCAGGCAGAGCCTGTGGAGGGCTGGGGAGGAAGGGATGCAGGGAGCAGAGGACGCTGGGGCAGCCTCCAACACCAGGCGGGAATTCCAGACTCTCAGCTGAAAACCCTTCAGTGCCAACTGAAAGGCATCCCAGGCCTTTGAAAATGCAGGTTGGATGATGAAAGAGAGAGCGTTTTTCTCTAAGCCTGCTCAAGAGTAAAAGGAACGCATCCCGCCAGGAGGATGGACAGAGCGCACGGAAGGAAACGGCGTCTGTCAGAACTCCTCGCCTTAGCGGGATCGCTTCAGGCCAGCAGTGCTCAGTCTACTCCAGGAGCTTCTGCCCTTCCTAGACGTGAAGAGCACTCCAGTGTGGGGCCACAGCCAGTCTCTGAACCCCAACACAGAATTAAATCTCAGAGACAGAGTTTTGGGTGGAGTAGAAAACAAGAGCTTTATTGCTTTGCCTTTTCATACAGGTCATTGGGTTCGCGAGGTCTGTCTAGTCAAAGCCACGGTTTCTCCAGTATCATGTACGGATGTGAGAGCTGCGCCATAAAGAAGGCTGAGAGTTGAAGAATTGATGCTTTCGAACTGTGGTGATGGAGAAGGCTCTTGAGAGTCCCTTGGACTGCAAGGGGATCAAACCAGTCAATCCTGAGATGCGTGTGAAAGAAATGAATTCAGTGAGGCTAGAGTCTTGCATCTTTACTAAATTCCTTAGCTTGATCTCTGGTTTTCCTTGTTGTTCAGTCGCCAAATCATGTCTGACTCTTCGTGACCCACGGACTGCAGCATGTCAGGCTTCCCTGTCCTCGTCATCTCCCTGAGCTTGATCAAACTCATGTCCATTGAGTTGGCGATGCCATCCAGCCATCTCATCCTTTGGCGGTTTTCCTTACTACTTAATAATAATCTTTGGTGCTCAGACTGCCTGCCCCCTTTGTAGCAAGATATAGTCTGACTTCCTTTCCTGCCTCTTTGGATCAGTTTTCCCAGAGCTACTGAGATGCTGTCTCTAGGACTCTGAGTCCTTAACATTCTTACCAAATAAAATAGCTCTACTTTCAGGTTGTGACTGATTTTTTAGTTGACAAGGACAGTAGTCATTGGGCTAGAACCCAGCCTAATCCAGAATGACTTCTTCTTAGCTCACTGTATCTTTACAGCGATCTTTACAGGCCCCTTTTCTCAAATAAAGTCACAGTAAGGGATTCAGGGTAGATAGGGGTCTTGGGGAGACATTTTCCTACCCAGTCTCTACCTTATAAATATTTATCTTCTCAAGCTCAGAGCCCAAGTTCTGATGCCCCTCAGCTGTGTTCTTCTCTGACTGACTTATTCTTTTTGTCATGAATACTTCCTTGAGATAGTAATAGGTTTTATGGCATGAGTCACTTGAAAATAGTAGAACAATTAAAGAGATGGCAAAGTTATGTCTGCATTCCTACAAACCAGTTTTAAACAGAACAACTCTTTGTTAAACAAAAGAGTTATAAACCTTGTTAAATGAAAGAGTTTTAAAACCCTTTGTTTTAAACAAAAAAAGAGCAATTTGCAAATGTTTTATTTTTCCTCACCTAGCTGGCTGAAAAAACCTTATTAGAAATCCAGACAATGTGTGTTTTGCATATGTTATCTGTCTTCTATAAAATCATGCGACCTGAGTATTTTAAGAACACAAGTGTTTTCCTTTGGCAATGTCACCAAACAGGTCACCTCTCTCGCCTGGTTGGCATGAAAAGTCGTGCTGGGTCCTGTCCGCTCCAGCCTGGGAAGGAGCTCTTCTCTGGGCATCTGTTTTCCCAGGCTTCTCCCTAAGAAATCATAGAGGTGGGTGTGTTTCTGACTGGCCTTCAGGCCTTCCCCGACTCGCCACTGTGGCTGTGGGGTGTACACCAGCTGGCGCGCGGCTTCTCCTTTGCTGTGGCGGGAAGTCTCCTGACACTGAGTGAGTGGACACGTACACCTCCTCAGACACATTGAGCCCTGCTCCTCTGTTCACCTTTTTGTGCCCTCACATTTTATTCATTGTCTTGGCTTCTCACGTCTAAGTTGTGAAATCAAATTTGCCTCTTAGCAGGGTCAGACTTGGTGGTCTTAAACTCTGGAGAGCTCAACTCTGACTCCTGAACACCAGCATCACCAATTCCAAGGGCCTGTGCTTTGCAGTGGTTCCTGAGTCACAGAGAAGTTATTCTTTTTCTTTCTTTTCTTTCCTGATTCAGAAAGACAGGCCTATTCGAGTGTTTTATCATGACATTAGGAACATATAGATTGCTTTTCAGGAGAGTTCTCTTTTCAAAGGAATGTTAGATTAAGGTGCACACATCTGCCATCTGTAAAAGGCCTTGAGGATACATCTTTTCAATAAAGAGATTGTCTTTTTAGTTGCTTTGATTAAAAACAGCAGCATTCCCTGCTGCCAAATACCTCACCTGGGTTTCATCTCATCACTATAAATAAGCAGAACAGGCATGCATCACAATGAGCTTCATTCAAAACATCAAGGCAGAAGAGTCTCAGAAAGGCTCCTTGAGGCCACAAGTCCCTGCACTTTCAAGATCACAGGCAGCCAGTTTCTTAATATCTTTATTTTCAGCCATCCAGTCACACTGCCTCCTGGGACCGGGGCCCTGGTGCTCTGTGTCCATTGAGCTCAAAGCCATGTATCCTGGTTTCTGTCCCACACAGTGCACTGTTGGCTGTTGACATGTATCCCTGCCATTTTTGTGTGGTCAGAGAGGGAGAACACACTACTTTACCAGTGCTTCTGTGATGGGCACGGGCAGGGACATTTAGATCCACAGGTCTGGAGTGGAGCATCAGGAGTATGGGAGGTGGAACACGAAGAAGGCAGAGGCAATCTACCAGTTGATGAAGTTGATGGTGGTGATGCTGGTATTATTGTTGATGACGGTGATAGTGGTGATGGTGATGATGGTGGTGCTGCTGCTGATGACAATGATGAAGATGGTGCTGACGCAGTGATAGCACTGACAGTGATGGTGATGGTGATGATGGGGGCACTGATGGATGACAACAGTGACAATGATACGATGTTGATGGTGATGGTAACGAGGGCAATAATGATGATGGTGGTGATGGTGATAATGGTGGTGATGATAACAGTGATGGTGATGACAATGGTGATGGTATCGATGGTGATGAGGACAATGATGTCAGTGATGCTGGTGGTGATGACTATCATTTATAGAGAATACTCTATTTCAATCTCCTACGTCTAAATTAATCTAACTTAAGCCTCAGGCTCTAGGGTAGAGTTCCTATTATTAGCCTGGTTTGGTTGGCTTGGAAATTCTCCTTAATGAAGTCTTACTCCTCTTGTTTGGGATGATTCTTCTGGAAAAGCCATGATATGCATTTTTGGAAGGGCCCTTATGTGGACCTATCCTTATACATGTGGAATTGAAGTCAGGATGTCCTCCTGTCACTAATCCTATGAGGTACAGAGGTTGAGACTAAAAACAAAAAATGTTAAGAGGACATTGAGGATGGATGAAAAGGGCTTAGTACACTAGCCTTTACCAGAATATCACAGTGTTTTATGCCATCCACGATTAGACGGGCTCCCTCAGAGTTATTGTGAGGATGTGGACTGATGCAGGAATCATTGCTGATCATGATTTTAATGTTACCTGAATTGGACAGAGCTTCTCCTGACAGACCACAGACAGAGGTCCAAGCTCAGGGCATTTATTCTCCAGAATAGACCAGCAGAACCAGGTTTACATACTTACTCTGAGAAGCCTGGAGCTATAAGATGCACTGGGACTCCTCATGGTCTCTCTGAAGACCCCTCAATCACTCTAGATCTCAGAAATGCCTCATCTGAAGCAACTGCTGAGGGACATTTGACCCACCTGATTCTTTACCAGATTTGAGTTCTGTGGTTCATTCATTCCTAACACCGACGGGAGTTCTGATGGAACAACCATTTACACTTCATTTAAAATCTATATGAAAAAGGCCTTGGAATTGTAATGTTTCATGCTTACTTTATAGAATAATAAAATAATCTATATTTTGCCTCCTAGATCTTCTAAAACAAACTTAGTTTAATGGCTGCATTGAGTCTAAACTGCAGGTGTTTTGATTTCAAACTTCATGTTCTTTTGTCTACTTCATGAAAAAAATTAATATATTCACATTTGTTCAGTCACCAGGTTGTGTTCAACTCTTTGTGGCCCCATGGACTGTAGCATGCCAGGCTTCCCTGTCCTTCTCCCAGAGTTTGCTCAAACTTATGTCCATCGAGTCAGTGATGCCATCCACCCATCTCATCCTCTGTTGTCCCCTTCTCCTCCCACCTTCAATCTTTCCCAGCATCAGAGTCTTTTCCAGTGAGTCAGCTCTTAGCATCAGGTGGTCAAAGTATTGGAGGTTTCCTTCCAAGGAGCAAGTGACTTTTAATTTAATGGCTGCAGTCACCATCCACAGTGATTTTGGAGCCCATGAAAATAAATTCTGCCTCTCATATATATTCATACCATAGTTCAAGATGACCCTTCTTTAGCAGAGGTCAAGATAAAGAGTCCAGGTTTATGAGGGACCTGGGATCCTCTTACCAGATGCTGGCCCCTGGGCCATAAGACACACCTGTTCTGCAGTCTACAAGGTCCTGTAGCTGAATCCGGCTTCTGTATCCCAACACTGAGTTAAATCTTGGAGACAGCATTTTGGGTGAAGTAGAGAAGAATAGCTATTCTGCTTTTTCAGACACAGGGGGCCACAGTGGTCTAATGCCCTCAAAACTGCGTCCCCACCTGGAGGGGGTAGTGGGAGGTTTCATAGTGGTGGTTCTCAGAGGGTGTGATCAGCTCATGGACATTCTTCTGATTGGTTGGTGGTGAGGTAAGTGGGTGTCAGCATCAATCGTCAGGTTCCAGCTGGTCTGGGGTCTACAGGTTTGTGGGCAGCACACGGTTAACTTCTCATCTGGTGGAGGTTTCAGTATCTGCAAAACAGCTCGAAGACATTACCACATATGTCCCTTGAGGGAGACCCAGGACCGTACCCGAAGGGTGCACTGCTGTGTCTTTGGACTCAACTGTTGTGTCTTTGTCTCTGCAGCCCTCCCTCCTCTAATTAGCAACTGCCTGAACCTGCGCACTGAAACTCAAGGAAGATCATGCAGGCTGAATGAAGCCTGTTTCCTGTAACCAAGAAATGGGGGACACAGAAAGGCTTTGTGCCCAAGAGCCCCACAGGGTCCTGCTCTGTACTAGTCCTAGCGGCTGATTTAATAAAGTACCTGTTTTTTCAGAGGCTTCCCTGGTGTGGACCTGCCTTCTACCTCCAAAGAATAGCTATATTCTCTTTTGCTTTCAGTAAATGCTCAAGGTTCTGTTTATTTATGGCATAAACCTTTGTGTCTTTTAGAGTACCAAATACTGGTAACTGTAAACAGAACCTGTTTTGAAGCACATATCAAAATCTGATCAAAAGGGTAAGTTAGAGGCTTCCAAGGAACACAGTGCCAGCTTCAGCTATCAAATTTTAAAGTTCTTGTGCTTTCAAGTTTGACATTTGAAAACACACAATTCCCCCTTTTAAATAAAAGATAACACATGTCCATAAAATGTAAAAGTCACAGATGTGCAGCCAATGAATCGTTACCAGTTGAATACCCACATGTTATTAATATCCAGGTCAAGATACAGAACACTGCCAGGCATCCAAAAGCACCATTCAAGTTAACTCTTGATCATAACCAACCACCACGAGACTTTGATAACTTAGATCAGTTTTGCCTGTTTTTGAGTTTATGTAAGTGGAATCACATAGTGTAATTGTTTTATTACTTTCCCCGTCCATTCAACTTAGATTTGCGAGATTCAGCTGTGTTGTGGTATGTGGATGTAATTTGCTCATTTCATTGCTTTGTGAAGTTTCACTGTATTAATATTCTACCATTTATTTATACATTTTGCCATTGATGGTTATTTCCAGTTTGGGGCTTTTATGAACAAGGCTACACAAGTATTATCATTCCCGTCTTTGGATACAAACCAAAGAATACCGTGGCTGGGACATAGGACAAGCATTTGTTCAAAGGATGCAAGCATTTCCAAGCAACATGCTTGTTACTGTCAATCCATGAATTTGTCTGTTTTGGAGGGTGTATCATGGTGTTCCATTATAGTATTAAATATATATTTTTGTAGATGTCTAATAAGATTAAATGCATTTTCATGTGCTTATTAATCCTTTCGGTATGCTGTTGTGTGACATTGCCTGTTCAAATCTCCTCTGTTTTTTCTTCCTGTGGGAGTTTTCCTTGTTATCCTCTAGGAGTGCAGGATGAAGGTCATTAGCAATTAGATAGGCTATAAATAGAATATGTGATATAATACAATGAGGAGCTTCTGTGATAATATTTCCCTTAGGATTGACAGATCAAACCGGTCAGTCCTAAAGGAAATAAATCCTGAATATTCATTGGAAGGACTGATGCTGAAACTGAAGCTCCAATACTTTGGCCACCTGATTCGAAGAACTAACTCATTGGGAAAAATGTTGATGCTGGGAAAGATTGAAGGCAGGAGGAGAAGGGGACAACAGAGGATGAGATGGCTGGATGGCATCATGACTCAATAGACATGAGTTTGAGCGAACTCTGGAAGATAGTGAAGGACAGGGAAGCCTGGCGTCCTGCAGGCCACTGGGTCTCAATGAGTTGGACATGACTGAGTGAACAACAACAAAGATAGTACTCTAGCCTTATTGAAACTGAAACCATGCAACTCAGATTGGAGCTTGAACCCACGTGCCAAGACTCAAACCCAGTCAAAACCCAGATTGGGACTCAAACTCATGGCCTTTTAACTGAGATCACACATCTGATTTTAAGACGTCATGAAGCTCCGTTTTCATGTCTCATTGCAGAAATGATCCAGTGAGAGACAAAGTGAAAGATAAGAAGTAGAATTATCTAGAGGGAAACACACTCCACAGACAGAGTGTGGGCCACCTTAGAAGGCAAGGGCCCTGAAATATGGTGTGGTTAGTTTTCATGGGCTGGGTAAATTCACAGGCTAATGAGTGGGAGGATTATTCCAACTATTTGAGGGCAGGGACAGAGATTTCTGGGAATTGGGCCACCACCCACTTTTTGACATTTTATGATTGGTCTCAGAATTGTCTGGGCACCTGTGGGTATGTCATTTACCTAATATATTACAATGAGGCCACAATGAGGCTCAAGTTCCCCTAGAAGTTGAATCCTCTGCTATTCTTGGACCTAGCTAGCTCTAACCAGTTATTGTCATGTCCCATGGCTATGTCATTCTTTTAAAGGTTATGCCCTGGTCCCTTCACTCCTGTTTCGTTATTACCCTCTTAGTTGTATCTTTTTTGATGAAAGCACTTTCTTAAGTTAACATCTCTTTTTATCACTCTTCTGTTTTTATTTTTTCCTACTTTCTTCTGTGTTATTTTACAGAGCCTTTATTATTTTGTATTACACAGGTATGACTGTAATCACCTGGAATTGATTTTATTGTATTGTGTCAGGCAGGGGTTAAAATTTACTGTTTTTCATGTGTCTCCATCCAATGAACTCATTTATTGAAAAGACCATTATTCCCCCCTTCCCCGACTCTTAGTATCATTCTGTTATCCAGCAAATGAACCTACTTAGCTGCCAATGTGAAATAATTTTCCAAAGATAGTCATTCCACTTTAAAAAAATTTGTTTATCCTTCTGTCAGTACCAGTGTGTCTTAATTATGATCACTTTACAGTAAGTCTTGATGTCTGGAAGAGAAGGTTTCCT